TTACTGGTTGATGATTTTCTTTATTTAATTGGTTACCGCTGGTTGGAATCATCAAGGTGTGACGCAGGTTTTAGAGGAGCAGTTCCATCGTCTCCCATAGATTTTAAAAATAATGCATTTTTAATAAAGAAAAAAAATCGACTTTAAGATGAAGGGATCTAAACATGGAATGGTTGATTTTATTGTTATTTTTCTCTGCTCTCCTCTTGTTGCAGGACCTCTTCTCCATCAGCGCCTTCGTCTACGCCCAGAAGCCCCAGCTGGACATCCACAGCTTCGAGGGGAACTTCACACGGGTACTGCAGCCTGCTGACACTTTTATTACCTGAACAAACGCACAGTTTCCCCTGACAGAGCAGGGGCTGCTCACAGGTGACGACAGAGAGCCGCTGCGTCCATCAAGGCGTCCCTCTTCCCTCTCATCCTGCTTGTTCCTCAAAGATTTCTCTTCTTTTCTTATTAATAGCAGATTAGTGCAGCCCCCACAGAGAGGAGAGCGGCGGTACAAAGGGGGGCTTTGTGGTGCGTCCTCGCTCTTGGCCACACACCAGGATTAGTGAGCGAGCGCTTCCTGCGTGCATTCATCCTCCGTGGCCGAGCGTTCCCACAGAGGTGTTCCTTTCCTTCTCCCCCAGGACGGACACGGCAGCTTTGTTATGAACGGCAGAGCGATTCCAATGTCAGGCGTCCTGCAACCTGCCATTTATTTTTCATGCTCCTCTTCCCGTGTTATTGCGGACTGACAGGAAGTGGCCGGTTAGGTATCATAATTATCATATCAGGCAGGAAAGTCGAGCTGAAACCAGAATCCGGATTCGAGCCGTCGGTTAAAACGGGACGCCTCTCCAGGGGCTGATCCGTCACAGGAATATCATTTACCTTCTCTCCCTCCAATATTTTTATGTTTTTTAATTTAAGGGAACTTCTAAGCTATGGAGTTAAAATCACACATTTTGTAAATTCAAATAAAAAAAAAATGCAATCCAGAAATGGAATTGCATTTTTTCATGTACCGTATCACACTTGGAACCAATACAAATGCTGAGTGTTGACCAATTAAAATGCTTCTTTGCATTTTAAAGCCCCGCCCCCAGAAATAAAGAGAATCTTATCTGAAAAAAGGGAAAATAGACAATTTTAAGTGATAAGAAATTAAAATAAAAAAACGGTTACAGCAGTGTGTTGCAGTGAGCTTGATGCAGACATTATTAAATTATGCTCAGTATTGAAGCGTGGTCTGAG